GGTGGGGGTCGTACTCGATACAAGTCCTAAATTTATCGTTAAACGGTTCTTTAAGACCGAACACTTTTTCTACACGCCCCTCGTTCAAATTGAGCCCAAGTATTTAAAAACCAATACAATGTAAGTTATTGCTGTGTATTACAACCTAATATCAAAAAAGAAATGACACTATTTTGCTTGTTACAAAATAAAGATTGACGTCACGAATTTAATAGTTGATTTTAGTTGAGTGACTTTTACCTATGCATTCATATAGGTATAATTATTTCCGTATTGTGCAACATAATCAAAATTATATAGAATTGATATTAACATTTTTTTATTTTTAATTGCTTTATAAATAAAACAAAAATTCAGTTATAGACTTCCAAATCGTTTAATTTAACTAAAACGAGTAGGAAAACTGTCACGCATAAAAAAAAATTTGAATATTAAACTGGAACTCAAAAAAACCTTTTACACGACGGCGATCCAATTTTCCTCTTTTTGCGCACGAAGCCTTGTCTATTGTTTTAAAAAGAGAAAGGAAATATTAAGTCAATAAACGTTCAAAACCAAAGTCAACGGATAATATTGTCGATTAGGATTGAACTAAATACTTTACTGTTCAACTGGTGTAATCCGTTGTAAGGAAATCGCTGCATTTCAATTATTAATGACCGCACAGAAGAGACTCGAGATGTGTTCAATAGTTAAAACACAACGACTTTTAATATTTCCGCAGATATATGCAACAAGGTGATTACAGGAAACTGAGAATCTACATAGTCGAGCGAACGGGCTGTACATATATTACTATATAATGCAATATTATTTTCCTAATGGCCACCATGAGAATTAAATCGATAAGTTTAATTAGCATCGATATTAGTCCGGGTAATTCCTATAAATAAAGGCGAAAATAAAATCAACGATCCGATACTTCATAAATCATAGATTAACATTGTGATCGACCAACGAACCGTGAGATCCATCGATGAACGACCAATTTCTACGTTGGCATTTAATAGGTAAATGTGTTTAGCCGACCATCACTAATGCTCATTGAATGCGGGCAGTACTCAATTAGACCTGCGGAGTTTAGATATCAATCACCTTGTGTTTTTTCCCAAAAACTATAAAAACCACTGGTAGCCCAATATGTTTCCATTTAACGACACTGCCGCGGTTTTTACGGCAAAACGACCAGACGCACAAAGTTATTCTAATGAAAATGACATGGACGTGACTCACAGTCGCGTTGGGGTCGGATTTATTAGTAAATCATTTGTAAGAAAATAATTTATCGTCTAATATTTTACTGGGCATCGGACTGCTGACCGTTCGCGTGGCGCACACGCAACCGCTTAATTCGCTAATTAAATAATAATTATAGTTTAATAATTACTAATTAATTCCGTGTATCCAAATTCTGATACGTGCTCATACGCCCTATTTCCGCTTTAGAAACTATCATTATTATTATTTTTATGTACACCGCCGAGTATGTAACAACAAATAATTATAATATTGTTGGGTAATACTAATAGCCTATAATAGAATATTCACACGATAATGGTACTGTTAATACGACGAAAATACTCTGTAGGGCTGTAATTATATAAATAATATGAATATTCATTGGGAAAACTCGTGTGAAATGAATATTTTTGGAACCAATGGAAAATAATAAATTTATTATTTCTGTGGGACGCACTGCAGGCGCATAAGATTGTTAACGTGAAGTAGATGCAACGGGCGCGGCTCAGTGGCGGCGGCGGCGGGTTGTGCAAAAATTGGAAAGAAATTAAATAACCCGGCAGAGGGTAAAGGACGGGCGAGGACCAAATTAAAAATCCACCGGCGCCGTTTTCATGTCTGTGCCGTTTGCTCGTCTCTCTACCGCATCGCGTATCTGTCCTTCTCATTCTTTCTGAACATGTACGTTTTTTTTTTGTCGGCGGTGGCCAACTGTTGCAGCCGCAGAATGCCAAACAAGAGGCGCCAGACTTTTGGTGGAGTACGAAATATCCATTTTAAATATTGACAGTTGCCACAGGTAATACACGAGTCGCCTCCATAGTCAGGTAGATATGTGTAGCCGATGATGATTTTGATGATGATACACGCGCCGCACACATACACACCCCCATAATTATGTCCGCACAATAATAATAATACCATATAACAATATCATATTATTATTATTCCTATTAGAATGTGTGCGCAGAAATGATTGCGCGACCCGTTTTGTGTATGCGCATCTTAAATAAATTTGCACACAGTGAGAGAGCATCTAAAAGAAAACAACCGGTGGCCCATAACCGAACGTACCTATTTGCGGTCACTTCTGAGAAACAATAAAACCAAAAATACGCCAAGTACCCACCTAGGTCGTCGCCGTCAGTAATTTAAACAAACGAAGCGACCAATTTGGTAATGGGTGCACTCCAATAAAAATGTTAAATGATACACTTCTGTTTATTAGTCGATTATTTACCATCAACTAATCAAGTATAGATCGAATTAGCTGATCTTTATATTGAAGCGACATTGCTTGGGTGGGGTTAGTTATTTATTAACCCTTCCCAAAAAATATAATTTCAGGAAGTTTCTTAATTAATTTGATAGTGTTCTAATTTTATTGGTTGTAATTATACAAATAAGTGTAGCTTTTAAAGTTTAATAAGCCAAAAGACGAATTATCGATTAAAATATGTGTCAAAAGCTATTCACAAAATAAATATTAAACATTATAATGTTTAATATTTATTGATAATTATCAATAATCGAAAAACACTCATTTAGTTTTTACATGTGCACTGTTAATTAATAAACGTATATATGACTAATACTACGTTATTAGACATTAGTACATAAATGATTTCCGATAAAAGTCGTTTTTAAAAATTTTCTTCCTAACACGAATTAATGACAATTTGATTTCTGTGTTGTTTAGTTAAACGGTTGTAGGAAAAAAAACTAAGTAAATACTAATTACTAATTAAGTAAATATTTTAACAATCTTTCTAAATAATTTGTTTCGCTAAACAAATCGAGAAAAAATGTATTTTAAAAGTTTTTAAATCATTAGAATTTACCCGAGTTGATACAAAATAAAAAGTTCACTGTTGAGTTTTTTTCTCTTTGAAAATTAACTATTTTTATCGTTTGCCATCCCTACAGCATTGCCGTTTATTATTATTATTCAGTAACCAATTTTTTTTTTTTTTTTTTTTTGTTGTGTTAACGCACCGGGTGTTCCGGAGACCGACGATTCCGGTTAATTACAAACATTTCGCCTCTTTATTTTTTATTTTTTAAATAAACCCAAATGATTGTTCGAAAATCTGCCGAAAGAATAATGATGCGGACGTCAAATGAAGAACAAAAAAATATTTACTGAAGAGTGGAAAAGGGACTAGAAATAAGAGTGACTGGCTGATTTTATTGTTTTCGATACCTTTTTTTTGCGATCACAATATAAGCATAGTTATCATTAAGTATTATTATTGATATTTAATAATAGGAAAAAGGCAAAACGCACACCGGCACATTGATGTGTAAAACGCAACGATAAAGCAAACCACTACTCGCATGTACACAATGATTTGTATCTGAAACGAACCTTTGCGGCACATCTTCCACACGCCAAGTAATATTTAACACTCACATAAATCAAATCGCGAACTTACAACGGCATTTTGACCTTTTTCTGTTAATAATCGTACCATTTTAATGCGCTTGGTCGGACCGCAATGGCAACCGAAGTTATTATCAATCTTATAATATAGAAAAAAATTCACTGCAGAGATGAAAATCGTCCGTGCCCATTAGTTTATGCAAAATATATTGCATTATTTGCATACGATGGCAATAACGAACACGGCGTATAGCGACGAAGACGTCGCATAAAACTATGTACTGTGTATCTCCACACTCTCTCTGGAACCATAAATTTCTTGATTGTCTAGACCATCGACACCTCGACCAGAGTTTTGCGCTCGCGCCACACAAAACAATAATAATATCACTGCTGGTGTACACACTGCTGTCTAAAAATAGGGAACACCGCAAAATCGAGTATTGTAAACTCAAAGGTGTAATCTATGAGCGCCATTAAGACCATGTAGCGTGATATGAAATTGTATTGTACCCGTGAGCGTGCACAATACTGTTTACACAAATATTATCAGTTAATATTTTCTCGTTTTTTTTCTTACCGTAAACGATATTTCCTTACTCGCGAACAGCCATACTCGAGAATATTGTTATGCGGAATAGGTGATAATCAGACGCAAGCAATCTCCCTAAACGGTCCTTATTAAAATCGTGTGTATAACAACCAAGTCTATGTTATGTAAAAAGGTTTTGCACATTTCTTGAGTTTTCAAAATACTTTTACAGAAACAGTAATACATAAAGTCTCATTTCAGAATAGTTTATGCGAGTTCTGTTAAATCTATTATAAATAACTAAATTGAGTGTATGATTCTGCAGATGTTTAAAGAGATAGAAGTAGAAGAAATTACTGAGACCGTGTAATTATAAAGTAAAAATGTAGTTAAACTTATATATATAAATATCTTAGATTAACCTAGAAAAAACTAGTTTTTTGGATTTTTTTCAAATAAATAGTTTTTATTCCAAGTATACTTTCAAAAATAACATGAAATTAAAATTAACAGTTTTAAGTGACTCGTTATCTGTAATAAAATGATCCTGACTATTTTTCAATAATGAAGATTGCCAACCTTTCATTTTGCCCAAGAAAAATAATTGGTCAAGATAAAAACTACGTTAATTTGGTAACTTAATAACTTTATAGTTTTAATTAACTATCATTATCTTTAAAAATTAGCAGGCCTATTTTAGTTACATCTTTTGACTTTAAGAACCAAAAATGAAATTAATATTTTTTGAGTAGCTTATCGAGGTCCAATGTTTGAATACATAGACGACAGACATCACATGGAAATGAATTCGAAAAACTGTAATAAATAATTTAATTTTAACAGTACCATTGTTACTCTGCAGTGTAAATACAAGATTCGTCGTGGTTAATATAATTTCTATTTGTATGACAACGACTATAATACAAAAATTCAATTGTGTCCAATTTTCTTGTGTTATTACCATCGATAGTGTGGATTAGATGCGGCGAATACATATACAATTTAATTATTGAATCAATCCTGCAACAATAACGACAAATGTGACAACTAAAAATAACGCTTTCCGCGATTCTTATAGATTAAACTGTCATACAAACCTAATGCATTCTATGTGTGTGTAATGCAGTTCTACTGAAAATTCTGCTTTTTTGCCAAACTATTTTGGCATAGCAATCATCTTATTGGGACAACATTATACATTAGATACACATTTACCATTGAAATCGTTCATAGTTACGGTCTTTCTAAAGGAAAAAAAGTTATAAAATATAAATTTCGTGTAGTTAAGCGAAATCCATTATTGTAATAGTTAATTAATTAAAACTAAACAAAAAATGAAACGTCTAATAGCCGTCACAATATATTTACTTAGGCGTCCATATTTTGATAATAAATTTTTTGGATTTTATAAAAATCTCGTTAATGATAGTATTTTAACTGTACATGTTCACTGTTATCAATAACAGTGGTCGTCAAAATCAATTCTCCCGTCGTTTATTGATAGGTATAGGAATAAAAAGATTTTATAATTGCGGAGTCGTTTTTATTAAATTGCGCACAATTGTGAGTAAAAAATAATAACAATATTGTAATTGTAGTCAGTTGGTATGGTTTTTATTTTTATGCTCACTATGATTTGTTTTTATTTTAAAATCTGACATAACAATCCAACTAAACACTCAGTGCAGCCAAATGACTCGTTTGCTGTGTCAAGGGTCAGTCAGTTTTATTTAAATAATCTCTTTGGCACTAGCAAGAGACAGGTGACCAACATAAAGATCTCGTCGGTAAGCGGCTAAAAACAATAACTATTACAATTACTTCCCGCAATCATAGGCTAATACGAACGTTGTATTTTATAAATTAAATAATCATAAAAAATTCGAGTGTGAGTTAATTACAAGTGTCTACTAACAGTGTTACATATTTGATTTTCGCATTGTACGCGTTTAGTCACGGTCGGTTGCGCCATTTTGCATATACTTACTAAACATGCGCGGCGGATATGATGAATATATAAATGGCAAGAGGGTTAAAAAACTGGCACACCCCTTTTATTGAGATTTTTAGTACTTTAGCGGTTGCGCATGCATTATGTGAGCCTATAAATGTGTATTCAAAATACTTGTTCACCTGTTGCAACGCGCTTCGATAAACTTTCGCTTACGACCCTACTTTTAGTATTTTATTTTTTAACTGGAACATTTGTTTTTTAACAAATGGTTCCTTCAAAGGTAGTTGACTCGGGGTTAACGAGATGATGCGAAATTCTTTTGACACCAATACCTCGTCTATTATAATATTTAAATGCACCCCGGGGCCGAAACTGCTACATGAGACTCCCTCTTCTTAAACACCTCTTATATGCATATTGTACTTATATCATACCTCCCCCCGCACTATCGGCCGTCTCGGTTTCGCGTTATTAATGGTGCTATGATCTTTTTACCGTCGGAATAGACGGTTCAGCTCGTCTTTTGTACACTTTCCACCCAAAACGTAACACATATACCGTTTATACACATTTTTTGTTATTATTCGCCGTAAATACATATTCAAATCGCTAAGAGAAACATAAGCCTGTAAAAATGATGGCATGATAAAGCATTTTTGTACTAAAAAAAAACAGCTGCGTCCCTTTACTGTTTTTTATACATCTGGCCCGTGTAATGTTGTTTAAGTAAAAATCACAGTAAATTACACATTTCCTTTTTTTAACTATTTACAACGTACAACTCTATGGAACATTAAGTTTCTTCTATCATTTAACATTAACAACGATAAAGCAATACAATATTCAAAATTACCTTAATGAAATGGACATAGCCACAATTTCATAAAAATGTTTGAAGATTCTAAATCAATTTCTCCCTTTCTTAAAAATATTTGAAAATAAATTTAGGTATAATTTTTGGGGGGCTGCGACAAAATTAGGGTGGCTAAGCCCTCCTAGGTTGCGCTTGTGGTTCTGGGATAATATCAAAGATCACTGTATGATGCTTAGCCAACTAATTATTAATAAAAACAAATTTTAAGGTCAAGTCGTTTTGCACTATTTGTCAAAAATCTTTTTTGTTTTAAAACAATTGTTTTCAATGTCTCGACATATTTTCAATATTTTATCTGAGTCAATTTTAGTTATCTAATAACTAATTTACAATGTTAACCTTACAAATTAACAAAGTTAATTTTAGGGCAGATAAAGTATTACTTTGTGATAATATTGCTTTATGATTCTAATTTTCTTAAATTGATATTCTTTCCAAACCGTTTTCATAGATCCGAATAAAAATTTAATATGATTTTTATGTATGTTATGACCGTTATAAAAATGTTATCGTTATTATGGATACATATTTTGTGACACAGTCAAACAACACTTCATTTTTCTAAAAACATAATCAGAATTTTTACACTTAACGTGAGCGAAGCAGTTTTTTGGCAATTTGACTCGCTTGTCTTTTTTATTAAAAAAAGTACAGTATAACCAAACGGGTAGTATGATATGACAACCAATGCATAATATATGAGAAAAGTAACGTTTTTTTGTTGACATCATACAAAACTTAACCCTTACAACTACCCGAAGAATGTAATCATTTGTACGTGTTCATATGACCGAACCGTATTGTGAACGGATCTTTGGGTACATTTTGGTATTTCCCGGATTTCGGCAAACCCTTTTTATCATACTCATAGGTAGTGTTTACCTTTAAATTTCAATACTCTTCACACTGGTGTATTTTTCCACGAAATGCATAAAAAGAAACGGTACAATGCCCCCTAGAGACGTTAGACAAATCGAGGGTTATCATTACACACGCACAACTCGCACAAGCATATTACGTACTGAGTGTTTCTAAAAAACAGCAAAAATCCCCGGCAACCGTTGACCTAAAAATCTTGGTCTCACACTAAAAAAAATCGAATCCCCATCGTTTTACGTTAAAAAAAATTACATAAAGGTGGAGAATACATTATATTCATGAGAAAAAATATCGGCAGACTCCTTTTTTATTATTATTCCGTTTTTTGGGGTGTATTTTTTTTTACAGTTTGGTGCGAATTTCTTTCGCCGCGTTAGAATAATTACAAGATCACTCGGTAAACAGTTGCTCATGTTGGGACACAAATCGAAAATCTAGGTCAATTCGGGGCGCGTATTCTTTATATTTTACCCTTCGCATTAATCGAAATCCGGTTGAAACTCTTTGAAAACGCAATATTTTTGTCGGGTTTACATGTGTGTATTTTTTGCGTTTATCCACAAAAACAACCCACGCTAAATGTTGCAGGTACAGCGAGACTCCCACGCAAGCAACCGGAATGTAATCACTTATCATGTATAATAATACTAATGTATTTTATTGGAAAATCTTTCGGGTCATGTCCTGGCTGTTGTATTCATCCGATCCACCGCAACAGTCGACAAATTGATAGATAGATGCTTCACAAATCCGTGTACGGACAATGATTTTTGCCTATATCATGTTGTTACTGTTGGCCTCTGGTGTCGACGTACACGTCTAAGCCCCTCGTGTATAGAAATTATTTTTATAAACATATTTTTCGCACAATCTACGACTCCAACATTTTAAATAATTCTATTGTACGACATAATGTGGAGTCCAATACAATTGTGATACCTAAACATTTTGGAACGACAAGCGATTTAAAAACAATAAAAAAAATCACAACAATGTGTTGAAACGACGTCAACTCTGACATATTCGTCGTATAAATAACAACACAAGTTATGCGACACCGTGTCGACTCAAACTGGTAATAAAAATTAGTTGCCATTAATATTCAAGATAAATTCATTGATAACGACCGTACCCGTATAATAATTCATGTATTTTTGTGTGCACACGGACAGAACATGGTTGAGATAATTAGATAAATAGTCGCGAATGATTATCACGTCCAGACGGTATTTCAAGGGAGTACATTTTACTTGCACACGCCAAATATTTTACCTCCCAACGTTCGCTTAGGTTGTCACATTGGTATCCGTGTACTGTACGACCGTATAGTAATGTTTTAATTCACTTACGCGAATTTTCGGTTTTTTTAAATAATATCCTCCAGCGTTTCATTGACCCAGTGCATCACGTAAACGATCCGCACGCTTCAAAGTGTTAAATTTCCTGCTGAACCTAATTGCCCTGTGTAAAATGCAAATTAAAATGGTTTGGCCACACAAAATGAAAATAAATAACTAATAATTTTTTAAAAATGTATCTTTTATGTTGACTATTTTTGATTATTTTTATAATGAAGAGGTTACTGGGCATTGCTCGATAGAAACAAAAAATTATACTCTTGTCCTAGTCACTAAGCCGGTTAATCAAACTATTAATAGAAGTTTTAGATGATACGCATAAACAAATATTCGAGAGCAATAAAACTGATAGTATGTTTTTATCGTACCATCCTCAATACATTTACGATAGACAACACTCGAGACTGTCACAATTAAATTATTATTAAACCAGTATACTCGTGTTTGGATCGCTTGACCTACCCAAATGAGCTAAGCACTGGGCCACTATGGAGACAAAAATATTATAAAACAAATTACTAGCTGATAAGTCAAACGGACAGTACAAAAGGTATTACCGAATTATGGGCGATTATTTATTTTGTTCTTCGTGGAATATTACTCGGACGGGCAATATACTCTATAGTCGAGTTACGACTTTACTAATAGTTGTATTTAAGTATTCCACATCCGCGTATAATAAAAACGACGACATAAACAATTACAATTATGGACAATATTGCTTCGGACCAGTACAGCACTACTTTATGGGGATTTCTACAATAATAGTTATCATGATTATAATGTGTCTACATGAACGTTAACAAAAAAACGCTGCTCATTACTATGCCCACACAAACGTATTACGACACAATTATGTTGCAATATTTTCTTTCCCTACCACGAAAACAATATAGTTCGCTGAAACCTAAAAGAAAGTCAAAACAACATTCCCCTGTGCAATAATTATTATTGTTATTGACTGTCGCAAACATACGTCTGTGGAAATTCTTTTGATACGTTTATAAGTTGTAAAATAAAAAATGTACTATTTACTTATTTTATGGTCGATCTGTCTAGAATTGTACAACCTAAGAGACGGAAAAAATTGTAAAGATGAAATATGTTTACTTTACATAATTAAAGAGGAGTACTTAACTTGCAGTTATTTTATTCTACGAAATAAAATCTCGGACAAACGTCTATATTTTATTGATGTACACATGAATGTATAGAGTGAGCCAGTTGGAGGTGATTGATGAATTTATTCTTCCAGGACCGCGAGTTTAATGTCGAAAAGCTTTCCAATGAGTTCAGTGAAGGAAACGGCTATCTGTGCAGAGCCATAACAGGAAAAGAATACGCTCACTATGAAAAATCCGTTACACTAGTAACGGTGGTCCCCGCGCGCGACTCGTTGTAGGTGTAGACGAGAGGGGGGGGGACACAATTTGTGTTATATTATCATGGGCATTTGGTTAATGTCCCCTCGCCACCGGTCAGCGCACATCGCGGGCCTCCATTGTACCGGGCACGAGCTCTGCAAGCCGTGGGGCGGCATGTGAATGCGAAAAATCAATACCACCCCCGCTCGCATCACCTTTGGGCGATGACCGTTCGACAACGACGGCCGGCGCATAATAAATATACACAATAATAATATTATATGGAACGTCAACAGATGTTGAAATTACCCCGCGGCGGCAGTTGTACAGCGACCTGCTCCCGTCCGAACAAAACGGGGTCATTAAGGGGGAGGTGTGATAAAAAGAAAAGAAAATCGCGCACACTTATAACGACTGGTATATTTTATTGCGCATATATTTATACACAACAATGTACACGAGTGCGTACGACCATTGTGCCCGATCCGCAATTAGAATCGTAAAGAACCCTCCTGATGACCGCTGCAAGAGGGTCCAGTCGATTATTGTGGCCGAAGTTAAATTTCGATGCGAAAATGTATTTAATAAAGGTCAAGAGATTCGGCCAATATAACTCAAAACCCATTTTGAGCGTATTGTACTCGGCCGTCTAATTCACAATATGTTTATATCACGTTTGGTCGCCAAACCGCCACAAATATTGCAAAAATGTGCAGGTCAATTGAATACCATTATAAGAAAGACTTTTTTGAAATTTGTGTTCTTTTAAACGGCTCCACTCTTTGCGACAAACGAGTAATCTCATTTTGTCTATTTTTAAAGGCTCAAAAATCGAAACTTTATCGAGCCTTTTATTCGGCGCTTGTTGTGGTCGGCTTACCGATTGTTTTTATGTGTTGCACGTAAGAGCAGTGTATATGTATTAGCAGACACAGACACACTTACATGAAGCCCTCTCCCCTGCCCTTTCCTCCATTGACTTTTCCGCTACCGTTGAATCAGCACGCAGTTTTATTAGAATGTGATTTGAGCCTTATGGGGATTTTCCCAAAGAACGTTTTACTAAAGAGTTTTCCAAGTCGAACGGTTTAACAGTATTTTTTACTGGGTCCTCTAATGCACACCATAACAATCGATTTAAAGTTTTACGCATACTGGTCGAATTTTCAAGTTACCTTGTCTTAGTAAAATCATATACTGATGACTTACGGTGTAAATAAAAATGTTGTTCAGTGGCAACTTAACCTTATGGACCAACAGTAATTTTACATTGTCAATTATAAGAAACCAATGACTTTGAAATAGTTAGAGCTGTCGATTTCTGTATATTATTTTTCATTGATATATAAAAATAAAATAAAATGATCCATTATGGTTGTCAACTCCATTTAAATTTTATCTTACCTCAACGTTACACGTTTGTGTAAGTATACTAATTTTATCTAATTTAAGACTCTACAAATGGAATCTATGTGTACGTTTGACTGCAGTTATAATCAGGAATATGTTATCGATTATTGTAAAATTAAAATTTAATTATTCGGCGAAACAATGATTTGTTATGTCTATGCACTTTTATTTTGACTATAAATAAAAAAAAACTAAATAAACAAATATAAAAATATATATATCGATGAGTTAAAAAAAATAGTCAATATTTAATACTCCATTTATCTGATATAAAGAATAATTAATTAATTAAGAGTATAAATTAAACATTGATTTGTTCGAATAAGTTAAAATAGAACATCTCACGAATTACTTAATTAAAACAATGAAATAAAATAAAATAAAAATATTGTTTAAAATCGTGTTAAGCAATAATTATGTGAATAATATTTTAATAAAAAAATATTTGCAAAACTACTACATAAAGTCATAGTAGTTAAATGGAATTATTAATTTTTTAGCGAAAACAAAAAAAAAAAAAGATTTTAATTAGATATTAAATATGTATTATTAAAACTGTAGGATTAACCAAATAAACAACTCATTTAAAGATTATTTTTAATAAATGCTCAAGTTCAACATTTTTTAAGTTAATCTCTATTCTAGAGTTGTTTACATTGAGAGAAAAATATTTCTAGAAAAGTAACAGCAATTACGTAATATTTACACAAGGTTTATTCCGATAGAGAGGAAACATTATTTTCGTGTAGCATAAAAACCTTAGGAGGTATTAAAATTTTTTGAAATAAAAATATTATTACGATTCACGGTTGATGCGGGGAGGTTGGAATGAACTTAAAAATGCGCGGCCAAACGGAAGTGAGATTTTCCAAAATAGGCGTGTCTCCGGAAAAAAAAAACTCGGTAAAAAATGAAAAGTCCGTCTTGACGGAGAGGAGTGGTGGGAATATAAAAGTTTTGCAAATCCGCATCGCGAACACGTATAGACATCGAGTGGAGGCGGATTGAGGCGCGTGGAGGAGGTAAAAGAAAACGCGGCCGCGAAGGGAAACGTCGGCGGGCAACGCTCGACCCGAACGAGCCGGCCGCGCACACTCGCCGTGTCTGTGCTCCGATTGGTGCCGACGCCGTCATGCCCCCTCGGACGGATCTCGCGGCCGGCCCCACCGGAGCCGCTGTACCTGTGTACTGGAGTGTCCCCCCCCTGACACTGTAACGGCGGCCGTGGTGGTGGTGGCTGTAGTCGACTGAATGAGACAACGCCGCGCGCCGCCTTCATATAGTCATACGCACCGGTCAATAGTACACGGTCGTTCCGCGTGCGGTAATCGTCCGTATTTGTTTGGATTATTTTTTACGATTCAAAAAGTACATTTTAATATCGTATTTAAATTTTTGTTTCGTTCGCACCAGTTAATTCCATCTAAACTCTTACGGATCCATACCGCCGCCGCCAACTACGCCTTTGACGAGTTCGTTGACGTGCGCTTGAACATTTTCGATAATAAATTTGTTGTTTTTTTTTTTTTTTAATCAAGTGCCGGACGGAATAGCGAAAGTTGCGGTACGTTTTTTTTTTTTTTTTTGTTTTGTAACTAACGAACAATTTTTACGCTGGAGGGCTTACCCGTGGTGGCGGGCGGAGAAGCGCTCAGGTTGGCCGTGGCCACCGGCGCCCAATTCCGCCGGGGTGTCGACGACGACCCCAAACTCCTCCACAAGTTTCATCCGGCTGGTTACGAGTTCTATAGGAATTTGCACAAGTTTCATAACCTGAACAACAACAACAACCACAGCAGTAAGAACAATAACAACAACGACTCGCCTCCTTCGGATAAGGCGGCAGCAGCAGCGGCGGCGGCGGCCGCTATGATCCTTCAACAGCATCATCGGATCGGTAGCCTGTTCGGTCGCCGTCCGTCGTCCTGTGACGCCTCTTCGGCAACCGCGGCTGACTCGCAACCGCTCGATCTTAGCTCGCTGTCCGTGCCTAAATACAACAACGGCAGCCGGGTGCACCCGTATTTTTCACCAAGCCCTCACCGCAGCAGCGGCTATCATCAACCTGCTACTAAATCTGTATCTTCTTCGTCATCGCCGCCACTGATGTTACAGGTCGGAAGTGGCACTATGGGACACTCGGGCATGGGCGTTGGATCGTCGTCCGAAGAAGACGACGACGAAGACGATGACGACAGCGTGAGCAGAAGGAGCGGACAAGATTCGCCTCCACTTCCGCACCACGGACCAAACGATTTGGGTGAGTACAAAATGACATTAACTTTTTGATCCGTGCAGCCTTTTAAATAACAATTGTCTAAGAGTATCTTGTGTGTTAATGATGTCGTTTACATGCGAGCAATTAACGACGTAATGGCCAGTAGTAATTAGTCACCGGCTTGTCTTAATTAACAGTCTTTCCGTACTAATTGATAAATCAAAAACCCTCGCTGCCTAACATAAGGATTCTCTTGATTTTTGAACCGGAAAAAGTATTAAAGTAATTTCAGTACAGCGTGTTTTTTTAATACTTTGTTATTTTTTTTAAATCCCAGAGAAAATTATTATTTTTATATTTCATAGAAAAATTATCTGGAAGTATTTCATTAATAAAAAAACACCGATAACCATAATTTCTCTAGTAATTATTTGCCATCGATTATTATTAGTCACTCCAAACATGGGATTTTTTTTTTTTTATATAGTTAATAATAATAGTAATAATAAAATTAACTTATGGTCGGTTGGGTCCATACTATACAGTCAGTTAACGACTCGTAGAAAAAATACGATAATCTGCCGGCGTTCTATTTTTATTGCTTACCGGGTTTTAAATGTCATTAAAATCAAACGATAACAGAATTAGAATATTCACAAAGAGCGGTGCAATTTATGACACTTTGATAATTTCATACTAATAAGGCCTCCTCCGCGTGCAACATGAAATATGTAAAACAACCTTATGACGATTTCGCTCTCGCGGCACTGTCCGTATGGCGTTCGTGTAAAAACCTATTCTATCATAACACTGTTTGTTTTTACGAAATCCACTAAATGACTCAATTTAAAAATCTGATTGCAATTACCGTCGGACGCAAATCACACTTTTATTAAACGAAGTAATACTCAAGTGTTTTTGTATAATTTTGATCAACACACGATTATCTGCCTAGATAAATTACTCCGTTGCCCAAATTAATGTGAGAATTAATAGGTATAACAACGCGTTTTTGTTTTTAGTACAAACCGAGTAAAATAGATTATATATAATTATTTAAATTAACAAAAAACGTCAACAAAAAAATATATATAAAAATGGTCTTTAATATTCCTACACTACTAACCTCCTGAGTGTTTATATCCGTGAAATTAATTATTGTTCTGTTTATAATTTATCATAATCGTCTAAATTATGAACATCTCTAGACAAAGAGTTTTTACATATTAATATTAAGTCATTATGTACATAAATTAGGTAAAACGGGTCCTCTTCTTTTCACATAACAATGTGTTTAGGTAAATTTCGTTGGTTTTATTTGTTTTATTCAAATATAAATTTTCTTCGATAATGTTTTATAGTTAATCTGTTCTAAAAATATTTTTACTCAGTATTTATCAGATTCTGTTGTAAAATTTGCTTTCAAAACAATTCCCCTCAAAAATAAGGTTCACTTACTGATTAATTTTTACGAATACCAAAAAAAATTATAACGGAGAAATCATATACACGTTCATTGAAAACCATAAGAGACGCGTTGTTCTTTCTTTCTTAACTGACAAGCACATCTTGATAATGAATTTATTTAGTTTGGTTCACTGATTCGACATCGTTTTATGTTATGCTGTTTTCTGAGCAACAAATTAATGTGTAATTATAATAATTACATGTATGGAATACTCATAAAAATTATAGTTAGGCCATCATATCTTGATATATTTTTTTAATTTACCAAACGTGTATGCAACGTTATATTTGATGTTTTTTGTGTTATTTTAGTAAATGCATTCAAATTTCACTATTAAAATATCTAACGGTTAAGAAATCTAAACAGTGCAACAATAAAAGAATTCTTTTGTTTTTTTCCCAGAGTTTGCTTACAAGTCGTTTTGATTGTGTATTTAATATGTCCTACGTTTTTTAGAGCTGTCCGGTTTACTTTTTCGATTGGATTATTAATTTTACAATCGTTTCAATTTTATATTCTAGAATACCTTTGCGTCTAAACGATTTATGTTGTTTTCCCTTCTGTGTGTCGTCAATGTTCAAACACTTTTAAAAGCGTGCCATTAAAAAAAAAAGAAGGTTCATAAAAAATAAAATACAAGAGGTAACCCTTTAAGGCGGCGGGCACCCGGAAGGGACGAATGGTCGCGCGCTCGTGTATTTATTTATGCCGAGTATGTACACCACTAAACGGTGCAGCAACAACACCCTGTGGGTCTGACAATGTGTGTTGTAACGGGTTGGGCACGAGGGCTACTTTGTGTTAAAAGGGGCACGCTTCCGCGTACATTACCCCTTATATTAACCGGTACGCATACCGTACCGCTGCATCGGTCGACTAGGGGTGTGAGGATGTCCTTTTTTCTGGGTTCGGGTCGTTTTATTTACCAGTGCATCACCCGTCCGTCCGCCCGTGTGTGTGTGTGTGTGTGTCCCGTGCCCAGTCGGCAGATGGTGTTCATCTCTTTGCACGACGGAACAGTAACAATTAAAAGCCGGCCGGCACATGCCACCACCATGATATAATGTAACGTAATAGGCTGTACGCGTTTCGAACGGGTGGTATCGCTATTTACGGCAGCCGCATTTGTGTCCGACTCGCCAAAGTCATACACTCACAACGAATATTTTTCGGCTAACCGTTAATGGGACAACAACAATAATAATAATAATAATAATTAATAACACCACGAATAATATGCTAATTGGACGGACGGTTGGGTTTTTTCGTTGGCGCAAATTAATGTGTGGAAGGAACAAATTATTGACGTAACGTCTGCGTGTTGCGGTGTATTGCACAACAATATCGTTATGAGTTGTCGGCATCATTAAAACCGAATTTTTATTGCCTAAAATAGTATTCAAATTTGCGTTTTAATCGTTTCCAACAGACTATTCGTCGTAATAGATTATGACCGTGTGCAGTGGCGGCGGAAACAAAAGACCGAGTGCAACTAGACGGCGGTCCTTGATGTTATTACGTTTTATGGGTATGCAAATAAGCTTAATAACACGTTGTGGTGACCTAGTGCTACCGCTCGGCGTTAATTATACTCTAGGCGCTTTATCAACACTGGTAATCTTCAAGGTGTTTCCGTTTTCTTGCATAAGAAAAATCCCGTGGAAATAAACACCGTACCGCCGCCACGACGGAGACACTCCGTCACACGTTTTATCAAATCGTCATATTCGTAAGCCGCCGATAAGAGTACAATTAAATGCCAACATCATAATAATAGACTCGGCGCGGCGGCCTTGATTTGTGCGCACACTTATGTCTTACCCAAACAGTAATTGTGAATTTGACGATTCGATGGACCACGTGCACCTCCGAAATGTAAAAATTACATTTGCCCGTCTAACGACTTACTCTGAGAATAAACGACTCCGAGTGTAGTACAAGACGGACATTAGAACGGACAAGGCCTCCGAGAAGAATCACCACAGTATACGTGCGCCGGTTTTATGTTAATACTCGCTCAGAAAATTTGTTTTTAATCGATCCCCCTCCCCCCTCCTTTATGCGCGACAAGTGCAATTAGAAGTGCATTATCTTACGAGTGCCAATAAAAATAAAAACCTAAAAATTCGATGGCGCCTCCTGGAAAAAATATAAATAAAAATGAGATCTCCCTAGTATGATAATAGGGGTGTTTTTAAAATATTCGGGGTGGCGCGCTGGTGTCACTGCATATAGCACATTAGGGTTTTTTAAATATATTATAATAATGTGCGCCACCTGTGGCGTTCACTGTCGACATTGGAAAGGGGAAGAAAGATATAAAAAAAATGTTTATAAAAGAAAAAAAACGATCTGATGACGTTCTCACTTCGTCCCCCGGGGCGTTAAAGTCACTTTTGACCAAAATGTCCTTTTTAAATTGGTCTGGGAAAAAAATTAACATCATAGGTACTACTTGTACGGCTAATGGAAAATAAAAACAGAATAATATTTACCGGTGACCGGGCGGGGTAGGGGCGGAGAATTATGCGCAATGGTAATAAAACATTACACCGTGTGAATACTTTATGATAATAAGTGGTGCTGGTTATTTTTTTCGAAAGCCCAGAAGCTAAATCGTATTATTCCTTTTCATATGCTCTCCGGTAATGACTCGACACAATCCGCGATGGCTGCCACGACGGGTATATACCGGCTCGGAATATTAGTTTCTCCTTCTAGTTTTCCTCTCACACATGTGTAAGGCCACCGAAGTATAGTTATCGATAATGAATACGACGACCGCCGCGTCGACATTGTCGTCACCACACCGGACAGAAAAAGATATTATTATGCATTAAGAATAATATTACATATGACATTATTATTTGTCATCGATTGTGGTGGCGACTCGTGCAAGAATGCTTGTCCATATCAATATAACACTCTTGTAGTAATCCGTTTCGGGTAATTATTATTCTTTTGTTAGTAAAACGCCCGAGTTCTTCTTGGTCGACCAACGGCCGGCCCAACGGTTTGCTGCGACCATATCAATGCGGTTTTTTTTTCCATTCCATTATTATCATTATTATATTCAGATTTCGATTCGTATTCAGATTGATTCCGTGACACAAAAGAAACACTGCAGCGGAGACGGACGTGCGATGAGTGTTCGAGTGGCTGTTGGCTGGCGCAGTACATAATAATGACATGGTTAAATTACGTATGGAATATGTATCGGTATAAAAAAACCCGATAACAGTATTAGCGGCAGGTTAACCGGTAAATTTTAATTGCAGGCGCGAGTAATTTTTTTTTCACTACTGCAGCTGTTCTCTCTATTTTTACTCGGTGTGAACAAGTGACCCGCGGCGGCGTTTCAATTTGTCCAATTACCGTGCGCGATTGATCACCGCAGAGGCTGCGGCACGTTAGTTTGGCTCATTTGTCATACATGTATACGTACACCGTTTTTTTAACGCTAAAGAAAACCACACATACGAACATCAGCGGGAGAGCCTCAAGGTGACGACCGGCACCTATATCGGAATGTTTACGACGCCGCCGCCGCCGAGATGTAAATCGGATGTCTTCATTACACGCACAGACCGCTGTAATGTCCAAGTACATTTATAATATGTATGCGTTTGTAATTGATAGGCAATAGGTTGTTTAATACCGTACGTACGATGACAGGCGCATTCGATCAGTTCTCGGGGCGCCAACGATCTCTCTGCGTTCGACACCAGTCGCTCGTGTTGGCAAAAAACAAACGCGGTCCTGCCGACTTCGAAATCCGGACCGCTTAGCGGACTAGTTTTTTCCTCGAACCTGTGGTTACGGGCGTGTGCGCGTGGCTCGTCGACAAAAAAGGGTAACCCGCGGGGGGGAGACGACTCGTTTGAAAAGCGAATTCGGATGCGACGTGACACACATACGACGGCGGCCTAACCGCAGAAGCCGACGGTAGACAATACTCGCCGAGTCGCGACGGGAGACAATCGATGTGCCGGTTGAGACAATAGCGCGGAGCCCACGGGGTTTGCACACAGGCAACAGCAGAAACCGAGTCAAGGTCTCTCTCCGGCAGCGGAATGCCGCGGATTTCGCCCTGCCCGGTAGCTTAATTGTTTTTAATGCGTACACTCTTTGGAAACGAAAGAGATCACAGCCAAGACTCGGTGTGCTGCCGCCGACCGGATTCGAAAATTCATTAACCGCTGACGAGCAAAGGGATCTGTGGTCCAGAATGGAATCGGCCGGCGTAAAAAAATAAGCTGTCTACACGATAACGATCACACATGAAACTCGGCAACGTAATTAGAATAGACGAAAATCGTATTTTAATTATAATAGTTGATAATAACAACGGCAGCGTTGAACTGCGGTAGTCTCCGTACGCGTTCACAGGCGGCGGTCTCCCCGGAAGAAGAATGAAAAAGTGTTTAGGATGGAAGAAGGCCATTAGTTATTCATGACTGACACAGACACACACACATCATATACACACGGGGCTGAATCATGCGTTATATTAAAAGAACCCGAATAAGAGAAAGACCAGTCGGGCGGTGGAATAATAATAATAATAAAAAAATAAAATAAAATAGTATTGCCTAACGACGGAATATTATATTATTATTCACTACTGTGGTACATGTATGCGCTCGAGACCCATTCTGTTTCTCATTAAAATATCATTAGATCCCGTACATGCGCCTTTCGATTCCCTCTGCCCCGTCGCCTTCCCCTGCAACTTTGCCGCTAATGACGCGCACACGATTTTCTCTTGCAGCGCACACACATGTAAGAATATTATTATTATTATTATTAATCCACCTTGCGTTCCCTCTCGTCGGTGTTCTCATTCATAAAACTATATTGTATTTATTATAATATACAAACACGAAATAGGCATCTGGCTGGTAATTATTTAAACATATAGTGTAAACTTCATTAAACGCCGTTCAGCCGAGACGCTACCCGAATGTACATTATTTTTTTATAGAAAATGTTAATAATATGCACTTTGTCGGTTTAATATTGTTGTGGTGATCCCAGTCGAACGGTGAGCGCACAAAGTATCCTGGGCTTTCCTGTACGTTCTTTAATGATTTCCTACTTCATGAATGGAATGTTATTGCGTGACGTCAACCCGGTTTTATTCATCGCGGTCTCATATCGTAGCCGGTGAATACCGAAATCAGTAATTACTGGGTATGATATGACTCCTCGGTAGGAACCATCAGCCCATACGCGATTAAACCCGAAGAAATTCTATCCGAATTTATATTAATTTATATTTTTTTACTGTTTTGCAGACTCTGTTTCCGACCGACTGATGCATCATCACAAGTACTTTAGCAGAGGAGATGGTGAGTTGTTTTCCGTTAAACTGTATTCTCCGGTGGAAGTGGGGGGGAGGTATAGTCGCGCGGTGGTCAACGTACCATAATTTTCTTATGGCCTTTTTCGCCAACAAACATAATTACGTTCCCGGTGACCTTGGCATTTTTATCGCACTACGGTATTACTCTATGTATAGGTGTATGTTATTATTATTATTATTATTATTATGGTAGTTTTACGTTTATTAGTGGCGTCTTCTTCTGGTTGTGGTCTTCGCGCGGTGTAACAACCACTGGGAATCGGTCGCCGAAACTGCTCCACTCCAAAGGTAGAAAAAATAAAGTAAACGGGCCTTCGGGTGCAGAAACCCGGCGCCTGTCGACCCGCTCCTTCCGCCGCCAACTGCCTACGCCCACTTAACAGGTCGCTACTACCTGTAAAACGTTGGCCCAGGTTAGTTAATAACAATTACTATTACGTGTAAAATCGTTATTGGACACAAGTAGGGGTTAGGAAGTTCTTTTTGTGGAATGAAAAGGCGAATACTTTTCGTGGGAACTACCGGATTGTTTTTTAACGATACGAGTTTGATAGATTATTCATTGGAATCTTTTATGCTCCGTCGAAAATAAAAAAATCTATATAATAATTGATAGCGTACTAGTGTATGTATTATATTGTTTTCCAGAGAAGAATTTCTCGCTCATTATTATTTCACAAACTATTCCAATACAAAACACGAGCGCATGATGTCACTTTCACTGTATTTATTTTCACCGCTCTGCGGGTCTCGGTAGATAGGTGCGCTTTTTTTTTTATTGTTTCGTTATTCCTCTCTGACCTCCCAAATCGTAAAACGGGTACATGTACAGTATTATCCGATATCTGTTCCGGACTAATTAGATTATCGTGACGTCCAAAGACAAACAACGTTATTATAACCGAAAAGACAGTGCACGAGTCGCTCTGATATGATGCGGTCCGGCCGGTGGAATTGACGGCGGTATGTCACGAACGGCGGCGGTTCTCTTTTCTTGCTCCGGTTCACATTTTGAGAAGCTGACCACGTACGCACTGTGTCATTGACGAAAACAACCTCATAGTTTGCCGAATGCTCCGACTGTTTTTCGAAACCAACACGGAGATCGGGTTCATGCACAATGCTGCTTTTGATCGCACACTACCAAATAAACATAATTTACATGGTGTCGTTTGTTTGATATCGACTTATTAATCGTTTTACAGTCAATTTCCATTAAAATGCGAATGCAATTAAAATTTAAATCGTTTAATATCAGCAACAAAGACCGTTTTTTTCATTAACATCTTACACGATTCCGTGCGATATTGTAATTTATGTTTTTCATCAGCCACAACTCCTGTGGCATACTTAATGGCGACGACAGCACAGATATTATGAATTAATTTTTTTTCCATTCCTTACGAACATTCTCGAGACTATCGATTAATAATTGCTTTTTGTGTGTAATTGTATGCACTTTTGTGACTGGATAGAAATTAGCGCCGTGTATTGCGAAAAAACACGATACGCCGGTGAAAGGATCGTAATATGAACATGTTTACACGTAGAAATATGTATTGTGTGTAATACTTATTTTTTTCGAGATATTATTAATAATAATTAACCGGTGTGTTTTGTGCATACCGCCGTAGAGAAACGATACCATTGCATCGGCGAACAACGAGACCATAAACTCTTCAACAATATATTTTTTCATAAATGCATCATCATACGTTACATTACTCGTATGCGGACGTTTTACCTTCTACATGATATAATTTCCATTCATGTATGCGCATTCTGTTGACAATTTTCTAGACGTTGTCGCGTATTCTGGTCACGTTTTTTTTCCTACGCACACACATACAAATGCGTCGTCGAGTCCTCAACGGTCTGTTGCCACCGCACTGACCGACGACGGGGTTTACACGCGAACAACGGCAGTAGACGTTCCACAACAATTTATAATAATCTCAATGTGCACGAGATTCGAAAGACAACTCTACTCGGCTGTCATCGAAAAATAAATAGACATTATCTTTTGTTTCACACGCTGATCATTTTCTCTCGAGTGACGATCGCGCATACACTTGAAAATTAACCTTTTTTTTTTTTTACTATTGATATTCAGTGAACAAAGAAAACATGTTTGTGTCCAAGTAATAATCCAAGTTCGGTTGTGTCCAATCAAACTGTTTTATTCCGAGTACAAGTTGAATTGTTTTCACTAGAAAATCATTAACTGCTCCTCGAGTTTATTATTATGTTTCTTAATTGCTGACGTGTTCATCATTAGTTGATAAAATCATTAGGCCGACTTCTCTGTCGAGCCCAAACGTTTACTAGTAAGCGCCCACTTGGAGCTACCGATTAATGTTTGAACAATTTATGTTTACCAGCGCTAATTTGCGCGGTCTTGGGAATTGAGAATTTCCCGTGTGCTTAAACTTGTTAAGCAGCGAGACTGCGACTAAGGAAATGTGTATAATCGATCGATCGTTGTTTGTTTAAACTTGTTTACGTACTTTTGTTATTATTTGCATTCGCTTGATGGGAAACGCCTCCCCAATTGTGTATCAATCATAACGCACGCGCGTGAGACTGCTCAACAATAAATCTGAATAAAAACATTTTCCTCCATTTCCATACGAATCTGCCCAAAACGTAAACTTTAAATTTATTTTTCAATCCAATCGCACGTGACTGCCCGTGCTCTCCTATTTATCTTCCCGTCCATTGATATTTATCAAAGTCCTTACCTTTTACCATTTCCTCGCGTTTTTAACCGTTATGCGATCTCATAATTTGTTAAAACAGCACATTATTTATTTAAACTCCCACGCATTCTCGAATACACACAGCAAAACCGCATAGGTCATACTGCACACTTATTTTGCACGTCAAAAAGCGTGTTCCGTTTGGAGTTTTAACAAATAGAGCAATTGGATTGCACAAAACATTCGAAACGCATTTCTGTTCTCATAATTTATTAGCAGGCGAAAATATCAAAAAACTTTTGACATTAAATGCGAACAATCCCTACCTTTGTATCATTGTAACTATTAAGGCTAAAATATTGCCAAATCACCATTGTATTCGACGTTGACGGCGTTGATGAAATATATTAATGTATTTATTATTTTTTTACTATTAAACATTGACCGATTTATTTAGACAAAAAACAACAGCGCCTGTGCCTGTCTCTCGTAGATGTTCATTATAAAATATGCAACAGCAAGTGAAAGAATGCAGAAAAATGAATAATTTTTCGTCAAAAACTGAATGTGTTTTCGGCACAAAAACTATTAATAGTTTTTTATTCACACAAATAGTAATGTCCGCGTACACTATGTGCGATTGGGCATTGACTTGAAATATTGAGCCTCATTAGGCACACACAAAAAATGAGTTGCCCAATCACTCGTTACCACATCTCTTGTAAAAACTCCGAGTTTAATGCGTTTTTAACATAATTTCATGTAAATGTGCGTAAACCACAGTTGATAATTGTCCACGGGTTAATATGTATTTATTATTTGATGACCCTTAAGACGGTTTTTTTTATCTTTATCTTTGCCGACGCCATTTCCTGCGTATCGTGTTACCTTTGCCGGTGGCGGTGGCCCGGAGCATAATAATTTCGTTGTATATTATTATACACACCCTTTAGCTTAATCCTATTAATTTTTTCCTTTTTAATTGAATTTTTAAATCCTCCGCCGGATACAAATGAGCTTATGAAAACCTTTGAATACAAATATCATAACCCTCGCGCCAATCATAAATACTGACGTGCATTATCCACTACAGCGCCTACGACCATGACGGGTAGGGTTTCATTTCTGACAGCGCAGTATTTGCGACGTGTCTGTTAAGTTTTTTTTTTTTTTCGCTTTTTTTCGGAAGGATAATATAATATGTATAATGATTCGACAAATGTCTATATCACACACACCACCTGAAGATGATGTGTGTTTAGTAACGACTCGCAACGTTCTCCTCCGGTTGTCTACCGATTCTAATTGTTTTTTTTTTTTGCCGCTGATTTTATTTTAAGTTTTTACCGCCAATAATTGATGGTGCCGTCTCTCGGAAAAATTGCTCATTTCTCTTACTCTCTATTTAAAAATGCATTTTGGATGCGTTTGAACGATTTCGTGTAATGAACGTCTTGTACAATACGAGGCCGCCGGTACGCCTGTGTGCATATGCTAAACGCCGGTCTTTGAATAATGACCCCCCCAAACAAAACAGTGTAAATATTGAGCGAGCGGTAAGAAACAAATTTATAACGATAATAATAACGTGTACCCATTGCAGCAGACGAGGAGAAAAAGGAACGTGAGATTTCTCCCGGCCGTCGACTAATTGCCGAACGGCTGGGCATCGGCTAACGATCTGCCGTATGTACCTGCGCCGTGTTTTGATTGATGTTGCTGCATATTTCCAATGGTCCGACACCGCAGTCTCTCACATATTGTAATTATTGTTATTGTACGTACCCAAATACCAGCACCTTAGTTTTTGGCGATAAGCGTGTGTTTCGAGCGGGAACAATCAGTACTCGTGTGTGTGTGTGTAAACTGCTACAGCAAAAGCTCATGTGTATCATTTTGTTGTTACATGACGGTGGTGATGAGTAGAGGGCAAAGAGATTTTTACATTGCCCGGAGCTGCCCTGGGGGACACGGTGAAATTTAATAATAAAAATAAGTCAAACACTGCAGGAATTGTATTTGGGCGGGACCTTAGAATTCTGTTTGTTTTTGCCGCCGCCCAGAGGCCTCGGCCTTTGTGCAAATATCAATATAATTTATATACGTGTGTGCCCCAACTCGTTTGTGTGTTTATCGGACGGCGAATAAAAAAATTATAAGGAAAAACTTATTACTGTGTTTTTTTTTTTTTCTTTACGGATCACTGCCGCCGTTACACGTCAGTCATTTTTTCCGATGATTTATCCTGAGCTTTTTCATCCCCCGACGGTTTTATCTGAGCGCTCGC